TTGTGCCACGGAGAGGGATTTTTCCACGGCAACTGATGACTCTTTGGCATGTGTCATCGCCACTGCTGACTTTTTGCTCGCACTACGTTGGATATCAACATACTCCGAGTGCCAATCACCAAAGAGGCAAGGATGCTTATACCCTTACCAACAGAGTGAGGCCACATTTGACTGGCCGTCCCGAGCAACCACTCACGTCCAGATGCATTTTGCCTTTTCGTAGCAAATTCAGGCCCTTAGATGCATTGCGTTTTCTCTTTTCACCTGTCTCACACCCGTACAGAGGAAACACCACTGTCATTGATGGGTAACCCGTGGTGGTGGCCTGGTTTTCTGTTTTGGTTTTGGTTTGGGCTTTTGGAGTTTTTCTGTGTTTTGTCCTGTTTGTTTGGTGGTTGTCTTGTGTTATTTTACCCATCAACATGCTGTGTTTCCTTTCCTTCTATGATGACCTGGGCACACCACCCACATGGCGTCCGCACTCGTGGAAAAAAAGAGAGAGCGTACATTTACGGCGCCCTCGACCCATCCTTGGGGCAATCCATGTCGTTCCCATCCCTCCCGCAACTTAAGCTGCGTGTAGAGGTTCCGCTGTGGAGGACTTTGCAGAAGCCAGACACCCCCCGTTTGACCCACATGCGGAGGAGTCGGATACGGACTCAGACGTCACTGGGGCAAAGGAGCTGTCGCCCAGATATCCACAGCCAGTGTGGGTAGGAGCCGATCCGCTGGAAGTGGAAGCAGAAGAGTCAATGGAGGACGAGGAAGCAGTAGAGGAACTTGACCGCTGTCTCGACGTTGGTATTGCGGCGGGACTGGTGGCAGAAGCTACGAAGGATCTCGGAGGTCATGAACAAGTTGAAAGACCTGGGCAGTTCAGGGAAATGCGCGAGCCATTGGATCGTGTGATCAAACCAACGAAGATGCTGGAGTGGACATGAGGTCGGAGCGTATAGCAATGGAAACCAGCAATCAACTAGGTCAAGAGTGGAGACTCTCTGTGCCCATCCAATCAGGCCTGGGAGGCTGAGATCAAAGTACCTGTGCAGCAAATCGGGCAGTGACTGTTCCATGCTACAGTCTGCAGGCGGCAAAGGTTCCGCATGAGAACCGAAATGCGTCTTTCGTGCCCACTCACAGGTGAGTACAGGACAGGAGCTTTGTTTGAAATGAGTGACCAGGGCCTGCTCCATGGTGAAGGAACTGTAGCAGTGTCGGCAGGTCAAACTACCGGGCAACATGTCACGTTCAGGAACGAAGTCAAAGGCATCCCCTTTGGTGGCCTGATGTTCACGTTTCAAATGAACCCATAAGGCCCTTCGACCACCAATCTCTTGACACAGAAGGCATTCATATTGTTTCAATGGTGGATGAGGCCGTTCCTGAACAGGAGCTTGAAGCATCTGTTGGATCGTTTTCTGACGCCCAGGCTTACGAATGTCAGATCTGGTGCGGTCAGGAATGGAACCTGCTGCATGATCATTATGGTTGTGTTGATCAAGTCCTGCAGGGGTCAAGAATGCCATGTGACAGTGCGGGCACTTGTGGAGACAACTGGTGTTCTTCGAGTCAGTTGGTGACGACACAGGTGCACGAAGGTCGGAGTTTTCAACATTTACTGCCATAGTGCCATTGCCGCTCGTTCGATCCGACGACATTATCGTGATTGTCATGCACAATTGCTGCCCTTTGAACCATTGCATAGAGAACAGGTCTATGGACTTGCTAACCTTGGGAGCGGCAAGGGTTATTGCATTCTTTGTGACCAGTCCTGCAACAACGTCCGAACGCATCAGTGTGGTGTTTTGATGCAGCTGAGTATCATGCTTGGTCAAACCTATGATGTTAGTCATTTCCCGGTGATGCCAGTCATGATGAGAGGAGATCTTGATGACCGCGTGGAGGCAGTAGACGAAGACCAGACATCATTGCCACAAGCGTGTGCAGCCAAAGGTCCCGGGAAGGGCTGTGGAGCCTGGCAAACGGCCCTGCCAGCTGCCGAGAGGCTTTTGGGGGGGGGGCAAACGGCGCTTTCGAAACGCCTAAAGAGTGACATGCACCGGCTTTGGCAAACGCCTAAAGAGTGACATGCACCGGCTTTGGCAGGCAAGGCGAAGGTCTTATGACAATGTCTGCAAGTGGGATGCCCATTAGTCGTGTCACGAAGAGGATTGTAAAGGTCTTTTGGATTACAGGGGATTTGGTGATGTTCCCTGAGATGACGCTTGTCGGACCTGCCTGAGTGAATGCTCTGTGGCATTCATGGCACTTGAGGACCGGGACCTGAGTGCACTGGTCAGTGTGGGTCGTCGGAATCGGGATGAAGGTGTCTGGATAGTCTGGGACATGAACTCCAGCATCACTGGGCATGGACGACATGGCGGAGGCAAGAAGGCAAGATCGACGGTGACTCAAGGAATGTACCAAACGTTCAAAGTGTCTTTGAAGCATGTGCCATGGTGGTGACAAGCCAAGACTGTGGAAGAATTCCTGAGTGGGGATGCGAGTAAGATGAACCGGTGCATGTGCCATCGATCGAAGGTGTTTGTTGATCATGCCAATGATGGTGCCGCTGCCATGAGGTGTAAGGCCCATTTCAAACACCCCATACAGGACAGTTGGTAAAACACATTGACGATAGAGCCTGATCCGTGTCTGCAATGGATGATGCTTGTCTAGGAGCCACCTCCGGAGGATTCGAAAGCATGTTTGAGCTGCCGTGAGTCTGCGTTTGGTCGTATCGACTTCCCATGCTCTGTACGAAATGATGACACCAAGATAGGTCGTTTTGGCAACCAGCGGTACAGTGATAGCCATGTCTGGCAGTCGGAGCAATGGGCCATTGGCCGTGCAATGGATCCATCGTTTCTGGAACGAAGGAAGTGCCTTCCCAACAAGTCGAAGCATTGCAAAGCTTTTATTAGGATTAATCTTCAGGCCATAGGCACCAAAAACCCTCATCAGGAAGGACAGGTCGTGCATGGCGCGAAGTCCATCTGCTGGTGATTGGACAATCCAGCGCATGTGAAAATCGTCTGCATACACTACCAGGTGTTCGATGATCCAGGCAAGGTCATATTGAGCTAGTAAGTCTTATAGGATGAGATACATCGCAAGGTTCCAAAAGAGTGGAGCATCTTTTGATCCTTGTTGAATGCCACCATTGGCCTGGATTTTACCTATAACTTCCTTGAAGGGAATGGGGTCAACCACGAGTGCACTAACGATTGAAGGTCACTGGAGACCTATGGAGAGCCCTGGAAACCTGTTGTCTGCTGATGGTGTCAAATCCCTTTTCCATATCTAACGAGATTTGTAGGCCTCTCCAAAGACCTGCTTTGTCATCGTCTTTACGATGAGCAATGCAAAGTGTTCTCACAAGACGGCAATGATGTGACACCCTCAGCATACACTCGCGTGTTCCTCGGTGCGGCATGTACGCGAATAATGGCATCCGGCACACCAGAGTTGGACAAACGGGAGGTTTTGGTGCGCCTGGCCGGTGGTCTGCAGGCCCGCAAACATGCTGTGCCGAGAAATGGTATCGTAGGCCCCGATGCCATCGATGGAGAGGATGGTGCTGGTGGGACGCAAGGCGGTGGAGCCATTCAAAGGGTGGGTGCGGGATGTACTTCACTTGTGAAGCCTAGTGGGAAAAGGCCCACCCACCCGCACCACAGGAGCAGACTTCTGCACAGAGGCAGACCTACTACGGCCTCGAAGGAATCATCCCCGTTCAAAAAGGAGCGTTGGGAATCTTTGAATGTGCATTTGAGACACTAAACAAACAGAAACATTTTTGGTTTTGGGCGAAGAGCGGAAAGGTGCATGTAAACCATGTTGGTTGGCTTGCTTGTGGCGTTTTACTCTGCCAAGGATGGGATTTTTGGTGAGTTGGTGTTGCAGAAGATGCAAGGTGAATGAGTTAGTGCATCAATTGCATCAGCAACCCGTTTCACGACATTGTTTAGTTCATGTGTATTGAATGATTGCGTGACATCCTGCGCAGACCCATTGGTTCACGGCTTTAATATGTGAAAATCAATTTCTTACGCACATGCAAATTATTGCCCTCCTGCAGTTTAGGAGGTAAATGCTCCTGGTTTTCGTTTCCCCCTGTTTCCCACTTCTCAGGTTGTTGCTTGGGAAGACAGAGCCCTTAAGTGGGCTAATTAGTGAGACCACTTACTGTATGCTGTGCAAACTTTTAAGTGCACTCATCAAGTTTATGATAAATTCAACATTCAGGTGCACCAAAAACTAGTGTGATGTCAACCGTTAGTAAATGGAAGGGTTCACATGGCCCGCATGGGAGACATGTATCTTAACCAAACCCCAGTAGCAACTTCACTTAGCGCATGTTTGTATCTTCACTTGGGGCTTGAAAATACTTTTTTGCCACAACTGACTCCGTTCAGGGGCGCCACACACCTTGGAACCTTGTGAGCATTGATAGGCACCTGACTCATGCATCCATGTTTCGGATGGAGACCTTTTGATTTTTTTTAAATTTGTTCTATGCATTTCGTATGCTGGGCACAAGAGGAAGAAATGAATCCAGGTGACAATTGGAATGGCATGTGGATCCAACGTCCACATACCTACAAACATATACAAACGAAACCCAGCAGATCATGTCAATGTGTTGAGGGCCGTATATAGTGTGAAACGTGGGGAGTGATCCGTGGCAAGGGGCTTCAAATCATCATCAGCTTAGCGTTATGGTGGATCATTATGTTGATGCAATTCATTGGGTGTCCATTTACTGTATATCCATTTTGATAAAAATTTGCCAAATTCATCAACGGGCAAAAACCGGCTAGAATGTTTTCGTTAAGGAAAACCAATTAGCTGGGTATAAGAAAGCAGGCATTGAGGATGGAGTCGACGAATCAAAACAAAGAAATTGGCCTCAACAATTGGTATCAACCCGGGCAATTTACTGCTCGTTTAACTTTCAGCAACTCGTTTTGCTGTTACAGAGAGGACATGTCCAATGCAGCCATTGCTGGCTTCAAGTTTTGTACGGAAAACAGAAGCTGAGAGTGGGAGACGCGCTTAGCAGCGCCCGCCTGCTTGCCTAGTTTGACAGTTTGGCACCTCAAAGGCGCACTTTGGCGTGTTCTTGTAGTTGTATGCAGCATGAAACACATGGATTTCTTGGGCAGGTGCGCAGCGGTCACGCTGACGTCATGGGCAAGTTTCGGCTTCTGGATTTGGTGAAGCCTTGCATGTGCGTCTTGCCAGAGGTGAGTACGCCGGACCGAAGGAGAGGGATGTGGAACCCAAGGTTCCAAGCGAGCGAATATGAATATCGCATCATGGCAATGAAAGATATTCAAAACTATGATCTTCTACAAGTTGTGGTTTTGACATGTTTCTTATTCTCAGGATCCCCTTCCGCGAGAAGATCTTGTGGACGGGAATTTCCCTGTTCGTCTTTCTGGTCTGTTGCCAGATTCCGCTGCTTGGCGATCTTGGAAGCAAAGACATGTTTACATGGCGTGGAGTTACATGAGGCTCTATGGGATTTCCGCAAACAAGTCCACGGTTCCGAACTTGGATTTGGACTGTCTTGCGGTGTTGAGATTCTGTTTGAGTGTTGCTGTGAAAGGATCCTTTCTACTGGATGCGGGTGATTCTAGCTTCAAATCGTGGCACTTTGATGGAGCTGGGCATTTCTCCAATCGTGACCTCAGGTGCACATGTCATGTTTCTGATGATTTTTCTTCAGGGGACATCCAGAACCTGGTTTGACCAACATCTTGTTCCAAATAGGGTAAGAGAAGTTGGGCAGCCGTTCAAATCGATTGTTTGGTGTTGATACTCTTCGGATTCAGATCTTGTCCAAATTGAAACTTCCAACAACTTGTGGTTCCAATGAGAGGCATGGTGATGCAGCTTTTGGCTGGCTCTAAGCTGCTTGAAGTGGATCAATCTGTCAAGGCCGGAATCTTTGGGCGAACAGTGAGAACGTCGTTGTGTGAATAGGAGGAACTTCGGAGGAACACAGATTCTTGAATACGACAACTCGATATCCTGCTTGGATTGAGATTCTTATTCTTCATGACAAACCTTTGGCACTTTTTGTTGCCGAGGAGGATCGAATGCTCTTCCAAGGGGCCCAGAAGCTGTTCGGAATGGCACCTTGACTCTATTCTAAGAATTATGCCATCACTCTGGGACCGAATCAGAATTCTTCAGGTCATCACTCTGGGCGAAGCAATGGCCTATGTGCTGAGTGGCATGTATGGCCCTGTCAAGGCTGGTAGAATGGCACGTTGCTCCAAAACTTGCCGCCTAGGCCTAGTGTCAAATTTGCCACCAGGACTTGGGAGCAGGAAATGCGATTCTGATCATCCTCCAGCTTTTCTGTGCAGGAGTCATTGTGATTTGGCTTTAACATGGATTTGTCAAATGGAAGATTGTGCATTCTTAAATCTCTAACAGTCCAACAATGACATCTTTAGGGTTGCCCCCCAGCCAAATCCTTAAAGAATAAGCATTTGCAGTTGATACCAGTGCATGCCCTGGTGCTATTGTATCTCATATTGCTGCTCTTTCTTTTGGGTGAGAATAGAGGAGAATGTCCGAAGTGGGGTGTTGACCTTTGTAGCTTTTGGACTGTCAGGTTTTGATTCTGGATGAACTACTCCAGAAGGGCTATGGCTTAGGATCAGGCCTGGATGAAGAACTACACGAGTTGTGTGTGTTTGCTCTTTGGCACGACGGCTGGCGAGGCATTTCCCTCTTTATCGCCACCAACATTTGCCACTCAGATGAAACTTGAGGACGATCAGGTTTGTTGGGCCTAGTGCGATTTTGAAAGCTTAGGCGAGACTATTTGCTGGAAGGCTTTCAGCCCAACAACCATGAACACAGGCGAGAACTCTGATGTCGCAGCGGTTTTGTGGCCGGCAATCCTCAGAAAGGGGTGGAGGCCATCGCTCTTAGGTCGGAGGCCATCTTGCTCTTAGGTTGGTTCTTCCTGATCCGTTGGAGCCTGTCCTTCCTACGCGGTGCGTGCGCCCGGAATTCATCCGCGTCCGCCAGGCAAAGGACCTGAGTTCGAGGGCGCCGTGATCGCCCTGTTCCACCTGCTGATTTCCAGGACGACCACCGTCGGCTCGGGTTACCAAGCCCATTCTCATGGTGACTCTTTTGTTGACCGTTGTGTTGCCAATCAACTGACCATCCTAGCAATTGAGAAAGTATATAATCTCAAAACTTGGATCTCTTGCGAGAGCCTGTGAAGCAGTCTTTCTTCTTGTTTGTGTGGAGATCTGTGAAGTGAATCGAATGGTTGATATCAGCAAAGCTGCAGGGAGTTGCAAGAGATGGGACACATCTCGCTGCGGAGGAGCGACAAAATCACTGCGTTGAAAGAAGCTTTCTACCGGCAGACCGCTCCAAATATTACCTCTTTGTTTGCGACTGCATCTTGGCTCCGCACAAATGTTGACCATGTACCCAGGTGTACTGCATTTTGCTTGCTCCGTAGCACAAAGAGCCATGCAAATGCAGATGGTTCTTCTCTGAGGTGTTGGTTTTCTTCTTCGTGATCTATTTCCAAGGCCGAGTGTAGTTAGCCTACATTTACAGTCCACCTGAGTTTGACCAGGCTTCCGCGTGGATCTGGCAGTGAAGAACCAAAGGGTGCCAATCTTTGGAGCCATTTTCATGATGAACAATTGAATACTATATATAAGAATCAGGCGGAAGAAAGGTGCACAGTGCAAAGAGGAAATAGCTTTTTTTGAGCAGTACTCTGTCAAACACACCACCCGTAGGTAAGAGGCCAAATGGGATCATATCCCATCAAGCTCTTCTACACGTCGAACATTCCCATCATTCTGCAGGCGAAGACACTGACATGTGTTCGGCACAATTATGTTTGCGAAAAAGCGGTAGTTTGGAGAAAAGGTGCACATCGATGTTTGGAGACCCGAGTCCTTTGCTAGTAATTACAATTCCAATTCTTATTGTTACTACTAGTAAGGCACTTGTTTCTAATAGCGATGCACTTGTTACTACTATATAGTAAGGCACTTGTTACTAGTAGCGATGCACTTGTTCCTAGTAGTACCAGGTGCACATCGATGTTTGGAGACCCTTCTTGATTGCCAGTATTTTGCTGGCTTGATGGAAAGAGTGTTGAACGGGCTGAAGATTCTGAAGATGAATTTTGTTCGACCTGCGCAGACAGCCCTCGTCTCCAACCTCTACTTCTTTTCCCAGCTGCTCAACATGCATTTGTCTTTTTTTGATTGGTACTGACAGCTGTCCATGCCTTTTCTACTTTGGTGCCCGCTGACAGGTTGTTATACAAGCGCTTTAAGGCCTCAAAAAGCGTTTATCATGCGCCTTTTTTTTT